GTCCCAGCGAGCCTGAAGGTCCTCCTCCAAGAAGGAACCAGGAATCATCGTCCTCTTCACAACAAGATCTACCAAGATCAAGGTCCAGGCCTCAAAGAACCAATATTGTTGACAAGCTCAACATGTCTTTGGAAGAGCTGGATGGACTAGAAGAAGAACCGTCACCAACAAAAAGTGACATCGAAGAACACGAAAGAGAAACATCAAACTTGATGTCTGCTCAGAGAGATGAAGAGGAACAAGAGGACGAATCCTCCAGTCGGAGAAGAAGAAGGAAGGCATCGCGTCCACCGTCTGCTCCGAGCGGCAAGGCACTCAGAACAGCTGCAACAGCAGCGGGGTTGTCGGGCTGGTTCGGACACCGCAACCGAGGTGGAGCAAACGCAGAGTCTACCAAGACTGATGAAACTTCACTTCCAGACTCACTAACCAGTGAGCAAGACTTCTCCGTCTTCAGCATCACGTGGAATGTGTTCCTGCTGCTAATGGGCTTACACTGGATGTGGAAGCAGATTACCAGGCCTCCTATCAGATGTATGGAGCGCCAACAACCAAAATCAAGAGCAGCAGCGAACCAAAGAGTTCCATTCCTCGAACCCGAGGATGAACCGCAGACGCGTGAACCTTTAGGACCCAACAGGGTTAATTCCGGAGAAACAACTGATCTGCGACCTATCTGGCATACTTCCCGAAGCGAAGTCTACCACCTCTCAGACAGCTGTTACCAGCTTAAACAAGCAAGAGATGTCTGCAAGAAGGTGCTGTGCAAAAACTGCCTCCATGCAGTACAAGTTGCGGAGATTCGCAGGAATGATCCTTTCCAAAGAGGTGATACACGACCACGTGGCACCGAAAGAGATATTGAGCGCTTCCAGACTTACGATGATGCAAGTAACACTCCTCACATGACACAATTATTCCAGGATGCCTTGCATGCACAAATGGCCGAGGAAGCCATGCAGATTACCTACACATCGATCCCTAAGGGATCCTCGGCAAGGGCCAGAGGTACATCTGCACTCCCAAGTGCCGCATCGTCATCAGCGCCCAAGGCAATGCCACCAGGGCCTAACAAGGCTAATATGTCACCTCCACCTAAGAGTCCTCCGCCGAAGGCGAAAGGAACAGTACCTTCTGATCCTCCAAGACCAAAAGGTCCTACCAGAAGAGGAGGTCAAAATCGGCGTATTCAACGAAAGGCAGCTAGAGAAGCCCACAACAGTGGACTCTGCACTTATGCAGACGCTGCACTTGACGAAGCCAATCAAGGCCAGGCAATTAACGTTACGTGCCGAAACATAGTATCAAGACACGTCAGCTCTATCGATGCAACGGTAGAAGCAGCCGGCCAGTTTACACAACGCGTGCTACAGCACGTAGAAACATATGATGAAGAGGAACCGTGGAGCACGGAGTTCCTACCAATCGTGGAAGTCCTATTCAGGAACTTAAGCGGCGACGAAACAACTGTCATACATGACAATCAAACGGTAACTATGCCTCTTGCGAAATACACAGACCTCCTCAGAATCGCACAAGCATTGCGAGGCTCTATCCAGAGAGACAAGGAGGAAAGAAAGGAACATCTTGACACGATCCAAGATACTCTATCCAGAGTGGAAATCCTTCTCACAGCACTGAAGGACTCAAGGACAGTCTTTAACCAATTGGTCCATTCCTCACTAGAGATAGAGCGAAGAAATAACAATCTCAAAAATGTCCTCGAGACACTTTTTGATGACCAAAGCTCTGAGGAAGACCAATCAGAATCTGACAATGAAGAAGTCCTAACTCCTTCTGCACCACAGTACTGGAATAGCCTTTATGCCCACGCCTTATCTCCTTCAGGAGATGAAAGTGAAAGATCATGGGCGTCCTCAGACGGACAGCTTGAAAGAAGAAGGGCTGAACGGGCAAAGGCTAAGCAGCCGCAACCGGCAAAAGCCAAGGCAACTCCAGTCAGCTCACAAGCTGCTCCAAAGGCCGAGCCAAAGGCGACAACATCCAACCATGGATATGATACTGCAGATGCCGCCTTCACCAGGGCTGAGAACAGATTACTCGGAATCTTTTCAAGTTCCGAAGAAGATCACTCAGACCCGGATGAGCCACATCCGAACGTCTATGCTCGAGCCTATGATCCAAACCTGGATCCGAATCTGAGATAGGAAAATTCTCAGAGTTTCACAATAGTGAATCGTAAGGCTCTAACAAGAGCACAATGAATGGCTGCCTAATTCGGTAGTAGAACATCACCAGACCTGATCTTGTACAGATGATCTCTCTGACGAATATGCATGAGTGTGTGTGCAAAATGAGTGGAGTGTCCTCAGCAGTGTACTTCAGTGCTATACCTAGCATACATAATATGCTGTTTTTATAATGAGTCCAAAACTCCGCAACTGTGACAGTGGGCATAACAGTATATGTGTGAATGTGCGGCCATGCTTTCGGTAAAAGAAAATTAGTGTCTGTTTGAAACCATAAACCTCTAAAGGGGTAGCTCTAACAGGTACCTACAGCAATGGCTGCATGCTCATACATATACATTCCGCTGCCCATTGGCTCACAGTGGTTTTACCATATTGAGACAAGACAAGCTCTCCTTGCGTAGCAAGACAAAACAACTACTGTCCGTGTGCAGGGCGCTGCCCTTTGATCCTTAGGGAATAAACTGGTCATACACCTCCTTACAAGGAGTATCCCTTGGGGGTGTATCGGCACAGGGGGGGGGGGCGTGAAGGGTCGAAGGCTTGAAGGGGGGCTTGAAGGGGGGCTTGAAGGGGGGCTTGAAGGGGGCTTGAAGGGGGGCTTGAAGGGGGCCTTGAAGGGGGCCTTGAAGGGGGCCTTGAAGGGGGGCTTCAAGGGGGGCTTCTGCCACAAAAGAAGAAGAGGCCACACGAAACCGCTTTATGGGGGTTTTTGCGACGAAAAAACAAAAGAACGAAAAGACAAAGAAAAACAACCCCTCCACTTTTTTTTTAGAAGCTTGCCGACAACAAAAAACCAGTCCCTGCCACAAAAGAAGAGGCCACACGAAGCCGCTTTATGGGAGGTTTTTGCGAAGAAAGAAAAGAACGAAAAGACAAAGAAAAACAACCCACCCACTGAAGCCCCCCTTGAAGCCCCCCTTGAAGCCCCCCTTGAAGCCCCCCTTCAAGCCCCCCTTCAAGCCCCCCTTTAAGGGGGCTTCAAGGGTTCGACCCTTCAAGCCCCCTTCAACGAAGGTCGAAGCCCCCTTCAGACCCCCTTGAAGGGGCCGTGAAGGGTCACGCCCTTCAAGCCCCCTTCAAGGGGGTCTTGAAGGGGCCCTTCAAGCCCCCCTTCGCCGAAGGGCGGTGGGCCCATTCAGCTGGTGTCAGTGTCGATCAGTGGCATCCCGGCTAAGGACCGAGAAGCTTGAGGACCGCTTTGTTTCACCCTTTCTGTTTCACGGATTTCGCAGTTTTCTAAACGTGCCGCTCTTCTGACCGAGTCTGCATCGAGACAACTTAACATTCCTTCTAAGACCCTCACGAAACATCAGAAGAAGTGTGAAAAACGCAGAGCAAGTCTCTTTTCACTCCACGCTTGAGCCAAACACCGAAGTGTTCAGCAAGGTCTCTTGCGGAGTCTCGCGCAGCAAATTCCGTCTCAACTTTGCTAAACAAAGGAGGAATGACATGCAACTGTCCTAACACTTCTCAGGACTTCTGTACTCACTCAAACAGCAGTGCACAGCCACTCTGTCCCTTGGCCTGTTCCTACCGGCACGAGCGAAGCGAGGGTCGGCGGAAAACAGCAACAGTGCAGTCAGAGCAACACGCACTTCTTCAAGGATGCCCAAAAGCATCTCTAGTGCTGTAAACGCTCATCATGGTCTTCAACGCAACTGCAAACATGCCAAAACATGTGTTAGCCATGCAAATGCCTGTTCAAGCTTCCAAAACAAAACAGTTCAAGGCAAAAAGGATGAAACCCTTTCTCATGCGCAAAACAAGCATGTCGGTACTCAAGGGCACACCTAAAAGGAGCAAACTTTTCACACCCCCTCATGCCCGAGAGTCCTCTTCACTTCTCCTCAAAAGTCTTCTTCGCGTTCTTCAAGAGAGCGAATCCTAAACCCGCTGGATACACACCTGACTCAGGAAGAGGAAGGTAGTAGTGGCCGTGTCCCTCAGAGCACTGAGACGAAAGTCCCCACACAAACTCTGTGCGGTTAGACACAAACCACCATCTTTTCCAAGGTCGTTGGTCACCCTTTTCAAAGCAACAACGATCCACAAGGCAACCCTGATCCAAACGAAGCTTCTTAGAAACCCTCTTAAACACAGTCTCATCCCACAGTCCTGACCTCTCAGGCCACTCGTGAGAAAGCAGAAGGTTCGGGGAGCCCACGTAAGGCTCCAACAGCTTCTCGATCCTTTTCCAGGACCTCTTGTGAACGGCCAGAGCCGCTCTCCACTTCTCCAGGGCTTTTCCTCCCTTCTTAAACCTCAGGTGCCTTAAACCACACCCAGCAGAGCACGGAGTAGACAGGTGAGCATACACCTTGACCCCACCTTCAGCTACGACTCCGAAAACTTCTCTCAGAAGACACAAGCCATTATAGCTCAGAAGATCAACCTCCTTAGTCACCCCAAAGTAGGCGATCTCGGGGACCTTCGAGCAGGCTTTGGACAACGCGCTTCCTTCTTCACAACACAGTTCAACCACTACGTACTTAGCTTCACCGCGAGCTAGCTTCAACGCAGCGGCTTTCCAGGAAGGCGGAACAGACGGAGTAAAACGTTCGTTTTCATTGGGCTCTTCAAAAGACACGTGCACCCCAGTAGGCTCACTCTCCCAGGCCTTCGGTTCATCTACAAGGCCAGAGGCATCGTACAAGCTAGCCAAACTTTCGTTAGTAGGGCTCTTCGTGAGGGCGTCCGCAGGGTTTATCACTCCGGGTATGTGTTCTATGGTAAAACGACCCCTGGCCACCAGCTCCTGAAGGAATGCGGCACGAAGTTCGATGTGCCTCACTTTCCTCAGGAGGGTCTGCATCTTAGATATACAAACCGCCGATTCGGAATCAGAATATCCCTTAAGAACATAATAACCGGTTTCCTTGTCTTTCGGCATACCCTCGCGGATGGTCTCCACAAGCAAAGCAATGTACAACCCTTCACGAGCAACCTCTGTGAGTGCAGCGAGTTCAGCTTCCGCACTGGAGAGTGCGGTAGTCGTTTGTTTCCTGCTGAAGCTTTTCAGGGAACAGTTCTCCCACGTGATGATTCCGCCGCTTACCGAATTCAGACTCCAGCTCGCGTCCGTAAAACAAGATACAGAGGCAGGGTCCGCATCATCTTCCAAGATCTCCCTTTTGCTCGGAAACCTCTGGACCTTGTGCGGAAGACCCTTGACCCAACGAAGGACATCCCTCATACAGGTCTCGGCAGCCTCGTCAGGAGCTGCTTGGTGGCGGCCCAGAAACCCACACACAAACTGCAGGTCTGGTCGTGATAAAGCCGCCCAGGCCAAACGGCCCAGAGTCCTTCTGTACCTTTCGTGAGCAGCTGGACTGATCGGCTCAGTCTGGCCTTTCTTCAGCAACTCAGCATAGCGGCGTTCAAGGGAAGGGAGCTTTGGTGCAGGTTTGGTGATTCCGTACTCCTCGCAACAGGAACTCAGGTACTGTTCGTCTAGCCCGAAATACACCGTACGTTCCCCTTTCTTACGGCGAAAGATCCGCCGACCGAGAAACGAGACTTCCCCGGGGCAATCTTGAATCAACTCGCCCGTAAGTTTCAGTTTGTATCTTTTACGCAACTCCTCGTAGAACCGGCGCCCCTCAGCTTCATCTTCACTATAGATCAGCAAGTCATCCACATAAAACAACACAATCGTCAAACCCTTCCTCGTAAGACGACGGAATATAGTGGGATCCAAACTTGCTTCGAAGTTCTGAGAGCGCAAGTATTCAGCCAACTCGCAATACCAAGATAATGGAGCAGAGCGCAATCCGTTCATCGCTTTCCGCAATTTGACGAAAACTCGTTCCCCAGTCCACTGGGTGCTCACATTATTCGGCAACTCTACGAATTCTGCCCTCGCTACGGGAGCATGCATGAACGCTACCGAGACATCGCAGGACAACACACTGCCACGTCGGCAGAGCATTGATAGAAGCAATCTCAGACCCTCCAATGAAGTAGTAGGAGAGTAGATTCCCTCACTCAAGGTGGTGCCTCCCATAGAGGCATAATCCCGCACGACTAGCCTAGATCTATACAGTCCCTTCTTCTTGACCGTGTTGACCCACCTGCTAGTCAAAACTCGCCTGCCGTTTTCCTTAGCAAGACGGCGAGCTTCGCGCTCAGGGATCACTTCCCCAACCTTAAAGGACTCCAACTCTTCCAACTCAAGCTTCATTGATGCGTAAAGGAGGTCGGGTTCTAGCTTCTCTCCCGAAGTCTCAGAAACAGCGTCCTGGGGAACAGCACACCTTATCTTCGTACCCCCAAACTTCAAATCAAACGACTTTGCGACTGCAGTGGAGGCGGCTCGAAGGTCAGGCCCTCGAAACAGGGACTCAAGATAGTGATTCGTGAGCCAGTCTATTTCCATATCCCCCTCATCGTTCACAACCTCCTGGTTCTCAGGCGCTTCCGAAGGAGAATAGTCACCAAGCTCATCTTCGATCATCTCTTCATCACCATCTTCATCCATTCCCACACCCGCCCCCTCATCAGGAGCATCATCACCAGGAGCCTCCAACGGATCAAACAGTATGGGCCTCTCGGGGTCCTCAGTGTCCTGCAGAAGAGGCTTAGCTAAAGATAGCTCTTCCAGGGTCTTGGCATCGTAGATGTCACCTCCCTGAATCATTCTGGCGACGGGGAATATATCTATTTCACTGCTTCCGACAGGGACGGCAAAGATGCCGCCACCTTTGGCGTGCACCGGTCCCAGATAAACCGCTTTCACGGTCCGGGCGCCCCTGAACTTATCATGGTGCGCCTTGGACTTACTGACCTGAGCTTGAACCAGACACCCGAACGGTCTCGTCCGAGTTCGGTTCACAATCTCCTCATGCAGTCGATCTATGCTAGTGCTCGAATCCCCGACGCTGGTACACCAGAGGTTATAGCACCTAGCAACGTAGAAAACACAGGCTTGCCAAAGCAAACCTCCCAAAGGTAACCGATACTTCCCAAGCTCAACGGCTTCCGTTTCCTGCTTCACCTTAGCAACCTCTTTCTCCAGGTCCAACCAAACAGACCAGAAACCCTGCTTCATAGTTTCAACCTGCCGCTCAATCGATCCCTTCGACTGGGGCCTGTAGCCCGGAACCACGTCAATCAAAGTTGCGCTGGCAGGGCTGCTATCGCACTTGGTGAGTTTCTCGGCAAGGGCTCCAAGAGCCGCTTCTTGGTCCATCCGAAATGTAACCGCTTTACCGACTAATCCCATTTCGCGAATCACACGGTTGATGTTGTGGAGCAGGTCAGGGTCATCGAGGTGCATCGCAGGAAGAGAGACAGTATACTTAGAACCGAGGTGCATCATCAAGAGTACCCTCAGTTTTCCGAAATAGAAGAAATCAAGACCTATGGTCTGGTTCTCTCTCTGCAGCTTCCTCCTCAAGCGACGCGCTGGAACGCGCCCTTTCGAAGAACAACACGCTTCACAATTGGAATCAAACGGAAAATGCCCTCGGCTCCGATGATTATACAACGACACAGAAGAAAGAGGAACCCTCAGGTCCTCCTCGTCCTCAGGTCCAACCGGGTCGTCAGGTGGTGTTGGACCCTTTTCTTTTCGAGGTTTCTTGGAAGAGCCAGGGGCAGACCCTAACGGTTCAGGGTCCTCATCGAAGATTCCTTCAGGATCTAACGAATTACGACTAGAAGCTTCAGGTTTTGAGGAAGTTTCGGGAGCAGGTCTCGAGGAAGGTTCGGGGTCTAAGTCAAACGGATCAGAACGTGTACCGGTCCCTGGCGACGGTAAACCTCTAAAGCGCACGGCTCGGAGCACGTGCTCAACTTGTTCCGTCTCCTTTGCCGGGGCCGGTTCATCATCTCCGGCACAAAGCATGCCAAACATGCCGCAACATGCGCACTTCAAGTTTTCACAGACATGCTCACAAACGCGCTCCCCAAAACCTTTCACCTCACGACTCAAAAGAAGTTTCCTACTCACCTCGACGCGGGCCCAACGGTCCCGCAGCTTAATCCTAAAGTAGCTTCCGCGTTTTCTAGAAAACACCCTGTAGCACTTCCGTGGCCTCTTCCGAGAAACCACTTTCCTGAAACACCGAAGTAACCCTGAAGAAACCCACAAAGCTATACCCCAGAAGAGGCTGTAGACCGTCAGGAGGAGCACGATGATACCAATATCCAGTCCTGGCGTGAAACCATTCCTGAAAGCGGCCGTGGTTTTAAAGGTGCGGGTTTCGAAGGTAGGAGGGTTCGAGGTACGTTGGGTTGGTCTTCGAGCAAACTCAACATGCCACAGACCATGCCAACGCTCATGCCACACAACATGCTGCTGCAAAACGTGCTGCTGCAAAGTGTGTTGCTGCAAAACGTGCTGCTGCAAAGCGTGCTTTTGCAAAACACCCCTCGTTGCGGATCGCCGCAGATTCACTCCAACAATCTCTGGCCCTCTTCGAGGGCTTGCCTCACCTGCGCAGTCAATTGACTGTGGCTTAAAGATGGCGGGCTGAGCGCAAATGCCCGTTCCTGGGCAGTCTGTCCGGTGGCAGAACCACTCGCAGCCGCACTCATAGCCCTCGGAGGCGTTGGTAGCCGAGATCTTTTTGGAACCGACGGCGGGATGTTCACGCCGTGCCTTCGATAGTCCTCCCTCTGCATTCCCTCCGGAAGCGTAGGTGCCGAGACCCTCGGGAGGTTGAATGCCGTAGCCACCAGTTCTCCAGGTGGCATTGAGGAAGCCGGGCTCGGCGGCGCCGGCTGTCCTGCCTCGGCGGGCTGATTTCCCTCGTCGGCCGCCCCAACATAGCCATCCAATTGGGACAACCTCTGGCCTGTAAGTTCTTCCAATGTGCGCCATATGGCGAGGTCGGATAAATCTTCTTGGCCCTGGGCCCTGTTCAGCGCAGTAAGTTCCCCTTCTCCAAGGAGCAAGGACTCCTCGTCGGAGCTCGAAGAGGTGGTGTCCACTACACCACCCTGAGGAATCGCTGCCGATTTGGCCCTTGCCGCTCGCATGGATTCCCGGGCCTCGTGGAGGCGCTCCTCCTCTCGTTTTCGCCTGTAATATCGGGCAACACGGAGATATATGCCCGAATCTAGGAACGCCCAAGCCGTTTTGAGCTCGAGCGAGGTGACCGACTGGGGCACCTTTACGAGCAGACTCGAACGTCCTCCCACCAGTCCCTTGTATCCAGCAGGCGTAGCCAAATAGGTTTGCAAAACGGCTCGACAATGGAAGATATAGTGGAGCATAGACACAGGGTTGGGTTCCTGAAACCTTCGCTTCCACGCTGCCCGAGCGGCCCGTGGAGCCTCCAGAAGTTCGGTAACCCTGACAGCGAACTCCACATCTACCATATGAAGCCCGTACTCTGCCAGGCTCTTGCCCTCTAGGCAACGTCCCAACCAAACCTCCCATTCCTGCTGCCCAATGATACATTGGGCTTCCGATTCCACCATCTTCGGCCTCGAAGCCCTCACTGGCTCCTCCGGATAGGCCGCTGTCACAGGAATCACCGGAGTGGCTGGTAGCCAAGCAGCTGGATGCTCTAGGTCGGGCAGGCCTATCGGACCAAGCATCGTCGCCGCCGGAGAGCAAAGTGCTCTCAAGGCGTGTCCTGGCGCACAGAACGCCAGGGATGGGGCATCGTAGGCATCTTCCATGTTCGCTGGAATCCCCGCCAAGTGCGAGAGCAACGGAATAGGCTCGGTAGAGTCGACCGAGACCTTTGCAAGGCCCAGCGTTTCCGCATGCTCCCATCTGCGGCCAGCCTCCAGCCTCAACGCCCTCAGGAGGAGTTGGGTTCCCACATCCATCTGAACCGCACCAAAAGGAGGGCTCAGCGAGCCCGGCGAGATATTCGCCGGGATTCCAACCCGCGGTGGAACAGGCCCCTCGACCTCTGAAGGACCCCCAGCGCGCAGGCGCTTCGAAGGATTCGGCCACTGGGTGCCCCAACTCTCCTCCCCATCGCTCTCCTCCGCTGCTTCCGTCACCACTGGCGACGGGTAGACCGCCACCGGCGACGATGGTCCCCCACCCGGCGGCTCTACCCCCGGTAGTTCGAAAGAGGGGCTCTCCAAAGCCGGTGGAGTAGGCGGATTCCCAGGAGAGCCTGGGCTGCTCAAAGCAACACTCGGGGTAAACTCGTCCCCGCTGGCACCGTCCATTATGATCTCCAAAGGGAGACCTCTCTTCACCACAGAGAAAAACGGCTGCAGATGAATCGTGCGCAGTGCTAGCGCAAACATTCGGCAACATCAGCGTTTGCAAATCAAGCCAAGCATGCCAACATGCCACTGTTTCCTAGGTTCACGCAGCTGTTTCCTAGACTCACACAGTCGCTTCCTAGGCTCACGCAGTTGCTTCCTAGGCTCACGCAGTTGCTTCCTAGGCTCACACAGTCGCTTCCTAGGCTCACGCAGTTGCTTCTCAAGCTCAGGCAGCTGCTTTCGCAATCCTTTTCCTACCCTCTTGTGGCTGAAGGGTCTGTCTTCTTCACTTGCCATCGAGCAAGACCCAACCAGCTGCAATGCTACCATCAGCATCGCTCTCAGAATACTGCGAATCTGGAACCTCGTCGTGGGCACGTAGCCATTGCAGCCCCGACCAGTGCTGTATACAGGCCCAGCAATAATGATGGGTGTGCGCAGGTTTGCGTCTGACGCACCCCTGCTTTCCGCACACTTCGCACCGGCACTCGCATTCTGGCTTTGATCCGCCCAGATAGTTTCCCATAGCAGGAAAAAGAGGCGTATTCTGAGTCTTTCTGCAAAAGCCGTAAGGGTAAAAGCCCGCTCGAGCACAGCAGCAAAAACCCACTGCGCTTGCACAACCATGTCTCTCATGAAAACATGCCATCGCAAAACCATGGAAAAACATGCCAAAAACATGCAAAGCACCATGCCAACATGCGACTGTTTCCTAAAATCAAGAGCCATGCCAACATGCGACCGTTTCCTAAAATCAAGCGACATGCCAGCACGCACCTGTTTCCTAAAATCAATCGCCGCGCCCTGCCTAACGTCACTAGACTCTTTTAGAAGATCACAAAGCTCAATCTCCCGTGGTGCAGGCGCTCTTGGAGCAACTTCCGCCCTAAGACCCCGAAGCAGAAACCCAAAAGGAGTGGCAGCCAAAGCGTGGCGGCCAGACTCGTCTTCTTCCGAAGTCTTTCTTCCTTTCTTCAGGATTCCTTCTCCAGGCTTCTGGGGTCCTGCGGTGGACTCCTTGCTCGATCCTAGCAGGTCGCTGTCCTTCAAGGCATCTATCTCCATGTCCTCGATCCCTTTCGGGGGGCGTCTGGAAGAATTCTCTTTCCCCCGGCCCTTGGACCTCCCGCTCAGAGCCCACCAGGCACGCGAAGCGCCCATCAGCTTGATGCTCTTCTTTCCGTTTCCTTTGTACAATCGTGATCCCGATTTGGCTAGACAGGTTTTCCACCCCCGTTCCGACCCGGTCCAAGGCGAAACAACGTTGAACCCAACATCCGCCACCAAGACCTCTTCCAACCTCAGGAAAACGTCACCAAAGTGAACCTCAAGGTCGACAACCCCCGATACGACGATCGCACCACCCGAGGCGTTGAACAGATTGGCCGTTCGGTCGTACTTCTTGACAACACGAAATCCTGAGAGATGTTTGTCAGAAACAATGTGGCAGGTGGCTCCACTATCAACTAGCCACAGGTCCCCAGGAGTAGTCTCGAGGGCCTTGCAGACATGAGCTACGTCGCCGTACTTCAACATACGGGATCCTAAGGAGCCCATAGACTCAGAACCTCGACTCTCAGACCCAGGCGACCCTTCGGGTCCTGAACCCGGCTTCGGAACTACAAGGGCGGACGGCTCAGGCTTCTCAGGCTGTCTCAGAACACGGCGTTCCGAAGAAGAGGGCTCCGAAGAACCACGCCCAGGACAGGAAAACCTCATCGCCATCACTGTGGCGCTTCCTCCCGACTCGGCCTCGGACTCCGGCTCTGTCAAGGAGCGTCCCTTTCCAGGCTGTCCCTTCTTCTTCTTCTGCTTCTTGCCTTTGTCCTTTCCTTTGTCGCCTTTTCCTTTGTCGCCCTTGCCCTTCTCGGAACCACGGGGTGTGCCAGATCCCTTGGGAGTCTGGTCGCCTTTGCCTTTCGGCTTTCCTTTGTCTCCTTTCCCTTTGCCCTTCGGAGCACCACCGCGTTCACGTTCTTCCTTTTGGCGCTGCCAACACTTGTCGGCTGTGTGTCCCTTCTTCCCGCAGTAGTCGCAAAGCTTCTCCTGCAAGGCTCGGCCCGAAGACCCAGGGGCCTCACACAGTCGCAGCTGCTCCTCGTAGTAAGTCAGCGTCCTTCGAAGAGCTTCCCAGTTCGAGCTGGACCCGTGCAGTACCACGTACTGACGTACTTCTGCACCCAAGCTCTGTAACAGGACAGAGCAGCGATCAGCCTCAGACAGCAGAAGCTCCGGAAAGTTGCTCAGCTTCGCTTCAGACTTCGAAAACGAATCCTCAAGATGTCGAATCAAGTCGGTGGGCCTCTTCAAATGCCCAACGTGCTGGTACAACTTCAAAGCCTGTTCTCTCACGAAGACAGCTTCCATCCGCGACACGATGGAGTACTGAGAGGTAATCGTTCTAATCACCTCGTAGCCGCAGGCGCTCTGCCCCTGCCTCTTCGAGCAGGACCTCAAGAGCTCGCTTCCCCGCTCCCACTTGGCGAGGGACTGCGTCAAGTAGTAGAACAGCTTGGAGCTACGTGCGGCAGTCTCGGGATTCAAGTCAGCTTGCACAATCTCCTTCTTCACAGGGATACAAAGCTGCAGTTCCCGAACAAACGCTTCTTCCTGCAGGGCAAGCCAGGAACTCAGCGTCTCCATAAAGGAGTGCCAAGTCTCTACCTCCTTCATGCGCCCTTTCCCCATGCCTTGATGGTCTATCACCGGAAGGTTCGGCAGATACTTCTCTGCACGGCCTCCAGCACCAGAGTACCCGGAGGGAGACGGAACTGCCGGAGCTGCCGAACTAGCGGCAGAACTGCTCGCGGGAGCAGTGCTCGGCTGGAAGGGGTCCCGAGTCTTAGCTGCCTCTGCTGCCTGCTTGGCCGCTTCAGCTGCCTCAAGAACTTTCTCTTCCGCTTTGTTCCTTCTCTCTTCCTCCAGATCCATTCTCCGGAGCATCGTCGCAACGAGCTGCTGGTTCATTGCCATCATCTCTCTCTGCTGACGAAGCAATTCCATCATGAATCCAAGCATCTGCTCAGGCGTAAAACCTGCAGAACCAGAGCTGCTACTCGGAGCAGCAGCCTTCGGACTCTGAACAGGTGGAGCCGACGCCTTTGGACTTTGCACAGGAGGCACAGTAGTACCAGTCGGCGAACCCGCCGCTGGTTCTGAAGGCTGTGCTTGCGTAGGAGCAGGAGCCGGACCATGGACAGGAGCAAACGGATTCGCTCCCTGCTGAGCAGCCGCTTCATGCGCTGCCGCAGCTGGTCCTGGACCAAAAAGCTCGAACTCTTCTTCTGCAGTGGTCTCCGGCACAGGAACGTCTGCCATGGCTTTACTAGGAACGCACTCAGCGCTCCGCTACCATGTGAAAAACGCAGAGCAAGTCTCTTTTCACTCCACGCTTGAGCCAAACACCGAAGTGTTCAGCAAGGTCTCTTGCGGAGTCTCGCGCAGCAAATTCCGTCTCAACTTTGCTAAACAAAGGAGGAATGACATGCAACTGTCCTAACACTTCTCAGGACTTCTGTACTCACTCAAACAGCAGTGCACAGCCACTCTGTCCCTTGGCCTGTTCCTACCGGCACGAGCGAAGCGAGGGTCGGCGGAAAACAGCAACAGTGCAGTCAGAGCAACACGCACTTCTTCAAGGATGCCCAAAAGCATCTCTAGTGCTGTAAACGCTCATCATGGTCTTCAACGCAACTGCAAACATGCCAAAACATGTGTTAGCCATGCAAATGCCTGTTCAAGCTTCCAAAACAAAACAGTTCAGGCAAAAAGGATGAAACCCTTTCTCATGCGCAAAACAAGCATGTTGGTACTCAAGGGCACACCTAAAAGGAGCAAACTTTTCACAAGAAGAGCCAAGGTTCGTTCTTTGTCGTAGTTGGGCACTGGTCAAGTGAGTCCAATCTGGTGGCAGAGGGTCTAATGTGTGTTAGGTTCGGTTGATCGGGGACATAGTATCCTAGGACAGCAGAAGAGGCTCATTAGAGGACCAGGCTAGTTGAGTTTAATGATGCCCTGGCCGGCGTTCGTCGACGAGCACAAGCAGTCGCATCCGAGAAAGAAGCAGAACCGGCGGCATTTCACATCAGTCAAGCCTCGCAGCGTTTGCATATTGCCTTGCTGCTGCTGCTGCCAGGCTTGAGGCTTAGCTTATTTAGATTGTCCGATTATATGCCTCAAACAGTCAGTGTTTCCAAAAATAGTGCCGTCATAGCTCTTATCACCGTGTCTAGGCATTGCCTAACATACACATAGCTATCTAACTAACTGACGTTTCCGTGTGTGTTTAGAATGAGAAAGCAATCGCTGAGCAGTCTCGGCACATACTTTCCGCAGGCAGATCACTATCTGCAAACATCATGCTCCACAGGGCCTGTGAAACGTGCAAGCAGCCAGCCTCGCACAGCACATCCTTCTCCGCCGCTGCTGCATATTGTATTCTGGAAGTCTCGCATGATTTCAGGTAACCAGCTAGCAAAGAGTATGCTAGCAGCGAGTCGGTTGTGATTGTCTTGGAGTCCAGACTCAGCATTGAAAGGGTCTCGGCTCGAGACACCTCAGAGGCTCCAACAAGCACTTTCGCAGTGCACTCCGTCGAGGCGTCATGGAGGCAGCTCCCGAGCCAACACCGACTACTCACCCCGCTCAGCCCATGCCGCCAAGGGTATCGGACAAAGATGCCGTCGAAAGGTTGCGGAGCGAACTTGAACGATACTACAAGGATAGGACCGCTGAGGACTTCCAGATCAGTGTCACAGACGGAGCAGCTTTACCGAGTCATTCTCCGCTTGGCCAAGAAGAACCAGACTCTGAAAAGCCAGTTCGAGGAACTGCAGGTCGAACTGCGGGAATGCAAGCGGCAAAAGAAAGAGGACGACAGAGCGACTCAGCTACGAGATCCCTCTGAGGAGGACACCCAGGTGCCAGACTACTGACAGCTGAGAGAGGGCCAAGTCTGTAGTCAGGTTTTCTTTCTGCGTCAGTCCAAGGTTGCTTCTAGCACAAGTGCTGAAGCCGTGCCGTGCCGTGCAGAAAAAAGGAACGTTGAGCGAATGATGATGTTAGCTTTGCATCCTGCTGGCCTGGTTCAGCCTGCCCGACTCAGCTTCGAGCTAGGCTTTCAGGCAAGCAGGCGTCCATGACGGACCATACGATAGCAGTATTGAGGGCTGCCAAGCTGGCCTTCATGTCTTGGTACTTCTTTCAGCTGCACGTTCTCTTTGAGGATCGTCTCCATGTACTGCTGTTTTGCCGTGAGGTCGTCTGCCTCCAGTAGCACGATTTCCCAGTTGTTTGCTGCAAAGAGGTGCACATGTTTTCAGGCCACTTTTGCGGCACTATTACTTAGTTGCTCTTCTGATTTTTTTTCAGAAGTCACCGGCTCCAGACCTTCGGTTGCTGCGGGAGTCATTGTAAATGTAAGCATCGTGTTCAAGCAGCTTCCGTCTTGAGCCGTGGCAGTGGTGACTTGCATGGCATTGGAATGCCAGATGGCTGAAGGCCGTCTTTGTTGGCAAAACGTGCAGCAATGATCAGTACCTCATTGCGAGCAGGTCCGGCATTCGTACGTGCCGGAGTGTGTGCCGCACTGGCCATGAATCGAGCCAGGACCAAGAGTTGTTCAACAACCTGACAGGACAGCCTTGGGATTACACGTGTATGAGACGCGGCTGGTGCCACCAGCCAAGAACAGAAAGTCTCAAGCTTTGCCAGTTCCTCGAAGTCCTCGAGATGAAGCCGCCTCGGACCCGCCAACTCCTGTGCCTTTAGGGTTTAGGAGTTTAGGCCCCCTGAGAGTGTTGGCTTGGGTTCTAGTTCTGCCACGCCTGCTGCCATGCTTCCTCCCACACCTGTGGGACCAGGATCGAGCCCAGATGTGCCGGAGCCCACCTGAGGTTCCGAGCAAGCGAGTGAAGTTGCACTTGTCACGGCCTCTGCCTGAGAGTGCAAGAGTTGCTGATGCACCAGTGTTGCCACATGTTGCTCCTGGTGTACCGAATCCTTCTTTGAGTCTTCCTTTAGGACCTCAAACGCCTGAGTCTGTTCTCCCACCAATGCCTGAGCAGCCTGATGCTGCTATGATGCCTGCCGAGACGGCAGCAGTGGAAGAGCGAGCTTCCAAGATGCCAAGAATTCGTACAGTTACTTTTGGTGATCGCAGTTATGATCTCAACGATGAAGGCTATGATGCTGACTTTGCAGAATGGGAGGACCCTGAGACCTTCCTTCAGATGTCTGATCAATGGTCGGACGATGAGGGCGCCAATCCGGCGCATGCAGAACCCGACTCGGCTTCCTTGAACGAGGCGGGGCAGCCACTTGAAGATTCGTTGTGGTTTAAGGACACGGGCCATGAACCTGTTCTTACTCCTGATGAGTTGTATGCCTTGGACAGGATTGCAGATGAAGTAGAAGTGAGCCGCTTGATCAGGAAAGAGGTTCTCCGGCCGGTCTGTGATCAGGACAATGTTCAATCAATGAAGAGTTTATCTACTAAGATGGTACGAACATGGCGTCGCAAGCGCCGTGGCGGGGTACCGCATTTTCTCAGAAGGTCCAGACTTGTGGCCCGAGAGTTCCGCTGGCTTGAAGAAAAGCAAGGATTGTTTTCACCTTCGACCACAACGAACGTGGTCAAGATCATACCGTTGCTCTTCCTGATATGGAGAATCACTAGACCTGGTGTTACCTACGCCATAGCCTCTATCGATGTAAAGGATGCGTACTTGGAAGTGCCACAGGAGGAGCCGGTGATGGCTGGACTGCCCCAAGACTACATAGGAGCCGGTAAGTTCGTGTTCCTAAAATGTGTGCCTGGTCAGCGTGATGGTGCACAACGTTGGTTCAACCATTATGTCGACTTTCTCAAGTCAAAGATGCCACTTGAGTCGTGCCTTGAGAACCCTGCGATCATGAGAGTCCCTGAAGGACCAATGCTTATGCATGTTGACGATGGACTTACACTTGGACCGTTGGAATGGCTCAAACAGTCGTACATTCCTACGTTGAAGACGCGGTTCGAGATTTCTGTCGAGATTGCCTACCAGTTGGGTGACACGTTTTCTTTTCTAAAGCGCAAACACACTATTTTGGAATCTGGTATTCTCATAGAGACACCGGAAACCTACATCAGACACATGGCTTCCATCCTTGGTGTTCAGCACGGATCAAGTCACAACACGCCATACCTTCCCGAGCTGATTCGCGATGATCAGACAGCTGCCCTTTCTGCTGCTGATGGTTCTAAGCTCAGGAGCGCACTTGGAGTTGCATTGTATTTGTCCAACGACAGGATTGACATTTGCTACACTGTGAGACTTCTTGCAGGATTTATGGCTGCGCCTACGGCAATGGCTATGCGCGGTTTGATTCGCCTCACAAAGTATCTGATGAACACCTCGAGCTATGCTACTTTGATTGCACCAAAGCGGCCAGGATCCTCAGTGTTTCATGAATCGCGTGCAGATGACGAGGAGCACTACATGGAGATCTACTCGGACTCTGACTGGAGCGGAAAAAGGGTTACCCGGAAGTCCTTTGGTTGTGCGAGCTTTGCAGTGAACGGTGGAGTCTTTCACCACATATGCCGAACACATCGCACAGTTTCCTTATCTTCCGCGGAGGCAGAATGGTATGCTGGGATATCGTCTTCGTGCGAAGGACTGTTCCTGCGAGCTGTTTTCACATTCATGTCGCAAGAGGTTTGCAGCTTGCATCTCAAGATGGACAATTCTGCTGCCCGCCAGTTGGCGTTGCGTCAAGGAGTAGGGAACAAGACGAGACACGTTGCAGGTCGCTTGTTATGGCTACAACAAGCTGTTCGTGAAGGTCTCATTACGGTGAGTGCTATCGCCTCGGCATATAACCTCGGAGATCTTTCCACTAAAATGCATGCAGCGAATCGTTTGAAGTGCTTATTGTTTCTCCATGGCATTGCTGACTGTGACACCGCTCGATCAATCGGCAGTGATGAGTTCGAGGAAATGGTGATGAGAGAATCTGTTAAAGCTCAGGTGAAA